GCTACTGGGTGGTGCTGCTCATGCTCTACCTGGCCATCGTGGCCCGGCGCTGCGGGAAGCGGCCGGAGCAGTACGGGCTGGCCTTCGCCGAGGTGTGAGGGGCAGGGGGCAGAGCGGAGCAAGTGCAATGGGCAGGGAGGGGAGGGGATGAGAGGGGAGATGTGGGGGGCTCCATCCCGCTCGGGCTTCGGTTTTTGTTGTGGGTTTTTGCGTTGCCGTCCAAGGGCTGAGATGAGGCCGGGAGGAGCCCGGGGCCCCGTGGAGGCGCGCCCCGCGGCTCCGGTGCTGGAGGAAGCGAGGCGACCTCCCTGGCCAAGGGTCGGAGGCCAGTTCCTGGGCGTGCCGCCCCGGCGGGGCCCGTTGGACGACGCTTCCCCGCGCGGCGGTGCAAATGCCTCGTGTACCTCGTGGGAGAGGCCCTGAGCAGATTTACCCAGGACCAGCGCGAGCCGACAAAGGCTCGTGTTGGGGCGCGGCAGGGCCTCCCCGGAGGCGCTGGCGCCTGGCCCTGCCTGCGGGAACCAGGGACAGGCAGAGGGTGGATTAGCGGCGGCTGGGCCCACGCAGAGCTGGGCTTTGCCGGTCTCGGGCTTCTGCGGTGCTGCATCCCCGCAGCGCTGGCCCTGCTCTCCCAAGGCAGGGAGGTGTCTTCAGACAGCGTGTCGGCCCTGCCGCCTCGGGCACCCCCCGACCCCCCCGTCGTGCAGAGTGGGGCTGGCGATCCTGTGGTGCTTTATGGGGGGGCACCCACCGTCCTTCCCATGGTGCTTCATCTCCAGCACGGCAGCCCTGGGCACGGGGCTGAGCCCGAGCCGTCCCCGCCGGCACTGCCAGCCAGAGGTGCTCCCAGCTCTGCTCCTGCGCGGGCCCTGGGCCAACTGGCACCCCCAGCCCTCGCGGTGCCCCCGTGCTAATGAATCTACCAGCAGTGCTGCCTACAAGAGCCATAACCTCCTGCTGCTCGCCCCGGGGCAGGGCTGTCCGTGGGGGCTGCTGCTCTGCTGTTTCCCTCCAGCTGCCTCCGCCCTGGCCAGCCGGCGCTCCCAGGAGGAGCACGTGCAGATCCGAGCCACGGGCCCATGGTGCTTGTATTGTACCCATCCGTCCTTCGTCCAGAGGCTGTGAACAGTGGCAGTGGGGCCTGGGGCCTCCCCACAGCTCGGCCTGCAGCCAGGGGGCTGGGGGGTGCTGGGGTGCAGGGGCTCAGTGAAGCCCTGGCGCTGGGAACTGCCCTGGTGCTGCTGAGTGGCTGATCCCATCCCTGGCTGGGCTGTCCAGGCCCCTGGTGTAACAGCAGAGCCTGGCCCGGCCCAGCACCAGCTTTGCCTGGCTCCGGGGCTCTGGCAGAGCAGGGGTCCACGCTGGCATGTCTCCAGGCCTGCCAACCTGTACTGGTGTGGGGCTGTGCCCGGCGCTTCTGCAGAGCTCCTGGCAAGGGACAAGGTGAGGCTGGGAACACACCGCCCGAGGCAGAGAGCAAGGAGCAGCCAGGCCCCAGGGGCTGGGCATGGGCAGGGAAGGCCTGTGGCCTGCTCTCCAGCCCCCTGCACCCTGCCAGCCGGGGTGGAGCTTTGCCTGTGCACTCCTTCAGCCAAAGACCTCGGGGGAGCAGAGACCCTGCCCAAGACCCAGCTGTGGGAGCAACCCTGCCTGCCGGCAGCCTGGGCCTTGCTAGCCCCCTTGATGGGGCAGGGTCTCCGGTAGTGTCACCGTAATGCAGCCACTGCAATGCAACTGCCCCAGGCAGGCTGCGCTGGCCCTGGGCACCCGGTGCTGTGCCAGCTGCCCTCCAGGCCCAGGGGGCTCAGGGCAGCGTTGTTGGCTCGTGGCTGCCGGTCAGCTCTGGCTTGCAGGGGACGGGGTCCCCGCTCAGTGTTTGAGTCCCGCTGGGTGGGGCAGGGGCTGCAGTGCAGGCTCCAGCAGGCACCAGGCCTCCATGCCTCCAGTGTGGCTGGACCCTGCTGGCTGGGCTCTGGTGCTGGCTCCATGTAGGGGCCGTGCAGCTGGCAGGGAGGGAGCCTGGCACGTGTAGGGCTGGCCCTGACCAGCCAGGGGCAGGTGCTTTGGCAGAGGGAACAGCCCCCATCGCCACACGTAGTCCGGGCTGGCCACTCCATGCCCGCTTTTCAGGGCAAAAACCTTTCTACCATTGCGCGCTGGGATTTTTTTATTTAATACAAGGTTTTTAGACGCCTTTTATAGCTCTCGGGGATTTCCACTGACGCCGAGTGTTTGTAAAGCTATTTATTTTTTACCTGTGTTTTTTCATATTTTGGAAGGTCTGTTTTTATATCCCGACGGGTTTGTCACAATAAAGACACTTGCACACAGGGCGGCTGCTGTGTCTGTGCTGCCCACGGTCGCCATCCCGGGGGGCGGGGCGGGGGCAGCGGTGCCACCTGCCCGGCTGCGTTGGCAGAGCTAGGCCCACTGTACACGGTCGGCCCCACTCCAGCCGCTCTGGGCAGCAAGGGGGGCAACCTGGACCTGCCCCAAGGGATGCGCCCCAGGTGCTGCAGGCAGGGAGCTGGGGTCACCCATGTGTGGGTGTGAGGGGCTCTGGCCACAATACGGAGTCACGGGGCTGCCACGGGGAAAGGAGCAGGGCTCGTGGCCCAAAAACACCTGCCCCTGGGGTGGGAGCCGGGCGCGGTCTGGGCTGGGCGTTCCCAGGGGAGGGCTCGGCCCCTCACAGCCGCTTGGGCACGTTGGTGATGATGGGCTTGGGGCGGGTCTTGAAGAGCAGCTTGGTCTTGATCAGGGCGGTCACCAGGTAGTGGGTGCCGGGGCTGGAGTCGGCCCCATGCTCGCTGGCTCCGCGCTTGGTCAGGACGGCGAAGGGCTTCTCCAGGCGCACGGTCTTCCCGTACAGGATGTGGTGACCCACGATGAGCACGGGGACCCCCTGGCAGGGAGAGGGCAGGCACGGGGTCAGAGACCGGCACGGCCTGGCCCCTCGCACGCCGGCGGAGGGAGGAGAGGACCCCGCGGCAGCTGGAGGAGAAGCCCCTCACCTCGCTGGTGTAGTGCAGGTCTCCCAGGAGGCTTCCGGCCAGCCCGGTGCTGTAGCGAGCCTGGATCTCTCCCTGCAGCTCCACCAGCACCCACTCCTCCAGGCCCCCGGCCCCGGGCCTGCAAGCAGAGGGCTGGGAGCTGCACAGCGCTCGGGGCCCAGGAGCGAGCCAGGCACGGCGAGACGCCAGGGTGCCCGTGGGCCCCCCCCGAGCTCTGGGCTCTGGTGCCCGAGGGGAATGAGACGTGGCAACCCCCCCGCCGCCCCCCAGAGAGGGGGGGAGCCCAACTCACCTGGACACCACGATCTGCACCATGCTCCCGCCCTGCAAAGCACAGCGCGGCGCGGCGCGGGCCGCGTCAGGAGCGGGGAGCTGCTCTCCACCCGCGGGTCCGACCGCCCCGCCCCGCCCCCATCAGCCGGGCGCAGGCACCGCGAAGCGCGG